GAGGGAAAATTTAAAATGAGAGTGTCTTATTGGTGAAAACCCTCACGGGCACCGTAAGGCGGCGGTGAGTTGAGAGATGAACAAATGAGAGAGGCTTGTTGGTGAAAACCCTTCGGGGCACTACAAGTCGAAAGAGGTTGGTGACTTTACAGAAAAGTTGGATCATTGAAAGCCCGGGTTTTGAAGTATGAAGACAGGCATGAACTGAAATGTGATTAGTTGGATGGATTAGGCTGATCAATCTGAAATGCATGTCATGATCATTGGAGCCAGTTGCTTCCTTCAGATAAGTCTCTTTTCCACTTTTCTTCAAATAGTCATCTCTGTTTTTTCCTTTTTATTCCTAATTCTCGAAGTCACTTCGCTTCGTTTCTTTTGGGTCTATTTTTCCAAGTCTCTGTCAAATTAGTCTTTGTTAAGAAAGCAAGAAAGGACTTCAAAGCTCATTACCATCTTTTTATTTGCACCAAGCGAAATTTGGCCAGGCACATCACAAGTGACATGATTTAGAATGAGCAATGCGGTGGTAATCGAAGTTCAGGTAGTCAAGTGATTCGTGAATTTGTAGGAAATGCAAATGTTCAACAGCTGTCAGAATAAAAGTGTCATACGAGTTGAGTGTAAGGGATTCAAGTCATTCAGAGGTTTTGTGGTCGAGGTCTGATTGAAAGGTCAAACAATTCTTTGTAGCCCGAAGCAGCTAATCAAAATGAAGCGGGGTAGTGGCAAAAGCAGACACTTTCAGCATGGATGCCACAAACTAACCGCCACATTTTCAAACTGACAAAATTTTCTTTGTTTTAAGTAGGGGCAAGAAATCTTGTTTGCTTTGCCAGGAATCCCCATGAGAAAAGCATGTTCTAGATAAGTTCAGTTTTAACTTTTCAGGACCCTCATGGATAATGAGAGTTAATTTCAACTGTTCAGGACCCCCTGGATAATGGGATTTAATTTCAGGTTTTCAGGACCCTCCTGGATAATGGGATTTAATTTCAGGTTTTCAGGACCCTCCTGGATAATGGGATCTAGTTTTAAACTTTCAGAACTCTCCTGGATAATGGGATTCAACTAACAATCAATGAATGTTCCTGGTACAAACTGGGGCAGACAATTTTCTCTGTTTTGTCTATGTTGTTATGATAGCAGGCGCCCACCTGGAAAATGAGGGAATTCATTTCAAGTTTTAAAACATCAGGCACCCACCTGGAAAATGAGGGAATTTATTTCAAGTTTTAATTCAACATCAGGCACCCACCTGGAAAATGAGGGAATTCATTTCAAGTTTTAAGTCAGCAGGCACCCACCTGGAGAATGAGGGAATTTATTTCAGTTTTAAGACAGCAGGCGCCCACCTGGAAAATGAATGAATTCATTTCAAGTTTTAAAACATCATGCACCCACCTGGAAAAAGAGGGAATTCATTTCAAGTTTTAAGTCGGCAGGCGCCTACCTGGAGAATGAGGGAATTTATTTCAGTTTTAAGTCAGCACATGCGCCCACTTGGAGAATGAGGGAATTTATTTCAGTTTTAAGTCATCAGGAACCCACCTGGAGAATGAGGGAATTTATTTCAGTTTTAAGTCATCAGGAACCCACCTGGAGAATAAGGAAATTTATTTCAGTTTTAAGTCATTAGCAGGTGCCCACCTGGAGAATGAGAGAATTCATTTCAAGTTCAAGTCAGTAGGAAGCACCCACCTGGAGAATGAGGGAATTCATTTCAAGTTCAAGTCAGTAGCAAGCACCCACCTGGAGAATGAGGGAATTCATTTCAAGTTCAAGTCAGTAGCAAGCACCCACCTGGAGAATGAGGGAATTCATTTTAAGTTTCAAGTCATTAGCAGGCACCCACCTAGAGAATGAGAGAATTTGTTTCAAGTTAAGTTAGCATCAGGCGCCCACTTGGAAGAATGAGGGAATTTATTTCAAGTTCAAGTCAGAGGTAGTAGGAGTCCGCTCAAGAATGCGAGTCGATAGTTCGAGATGCGCAACAGAACTGTAGAAGATTCAAGATCAAGTTTCTGAAGACCTATAGATAGGAATCTTGTAACTCGTAGCTGATAGATTTGCTTAGTTTCTTTTCATTTTTATTTTGGTGTAATAAGGAGTTCAGCAAGCAGTAACAGCAGCAACAGTAGTGAAATCACAACTTCTCGGTAGTTCCAGCTACCAAACATTTCTAGAACTACACTGACCTGATTCCTTTATAGCAGAGGATATGTAGGCAACCTCAGAAGCAAGGTTCGGTCAAAAATTTTCAAAACACTTCAAATGGAGTATCCAAACGGGCAAAAATCGCTCATATTCGCTCACTTTATCTTTGCCCAAAAACTCTTCGTGTTTTCGAGCAAAGAGGCAGCTATGAGCACATAATTTTTGCCCGACGGAAAATACTCCTACAAATTCAAAATAGGTTTTTCTAACTATTTTAATTTTTTATAGAATTTTTAGGGATTTCTTGTTAATTGTTGCTTGCATTATTGCATATTTAACATTGTAAAATCATGAGAAAAATACCAAAAATGTCTAAAATATTTCATGCATAGCATTTTAGGTCTTAATTGCATTTAGGATTTAATTACATAAGTTAATTGCGTTATTAAACAAAAAAAATCAAAAAAATATTGGTCATTTTTGTATTTTTAGCTTTTAGTTGCAAATTAGTAATTTCCTTTCATTAGTCTTAAGTTAATTAATTACTTTTATGTTAGAAATAGAAAATAAATTTAATTATACAAATTAGATTTGATGTATGACTTAGTTTAAGATTTTAATTAATATTATTAAGCTAAAAATCAAGAAGAAAAAAAGAAGAAGAAAGAAAGCTTGCTTAATTCCAGATTGGGCCACAACCATTTTCAGTGGCCCAATTGCCCCAAAAGTCCGTCCAGCCCAACACCTTTTCCCCCTACCCAGCTTCTGACCCGCCCTGAACCCATGACCCGCCCCATCTCCCTCTCTAAATCCTAGCCACCCACTAACTTTAATCCAACAGCTCACCTTTTTTCCTCACACCAAATATAACACAAACCCTAATCCTAAAAGAAACTAACCCAGCCGCATCTCCTCAACCCCCCACCTTGGTCCGCCGCTACAACATGCCCAAACTCACCGGAATCAGGCGAGTTAACTCGCAAACTCGTGCACATGGTCCCTCCTCATCTCCTTTCTCCACGTCACTCTAATCCTAAGGGATTTCTGACAAAACGAAATTATTCTTTCCGAATTTTACGCACTCCCTCTTATTTTTCTGTCAGAGTTATGCTCTTTTGGCGAAAATAGGAAAACTGTGGGGCGTAGGATTGAGTCACACTCGATCTACTCCTTACATCTGTCTTATCTCGCCAAACCGAGATTGTTTTTTGGATTTTTGGGGGTGATTTTCGGATTCCTTGGCATCCAAGGAGAGAAGGTTCGAGTGAATCTGTAAATAGGAAGGATTTTCAGTCATAGAGGAGGGGATTTCTTTTTAGGGCAGAAATTTTGAGGAAAATTAGGGAGTGCTCTTCTTCTTCTCGATTGTCCTCTACGGTTTTCTTTTAAGTTTTAGTGTCAAAAAATACAAAAACAAAAAAAGGCTAAAAGGCCACTGCATCGTTTCAGTAGTTTTTTCTGAGTTTCGCTTGATTCTGGGCTAAATTCGGAAGTTATTCCTTCTGTACTGCTACTGTTTATGCTGCTCTGTTAAACTTGGCTTTATACCTGGTTTTCTGACATTTATTTGGTCCCTTATTTGTTGTTTCCTGCCACTAGGTATGTACAAATTTGCCTTTTAGCTTCCTGTTGCAATTATGAATAAGTTCGGATTATCTGATGTTGTTTGTGTCTGATCTCTTTACTATGTTTCACTGCAATTGCTTCCGTGTAAATTTCTGGTTTTGATTATTCATTTGAACTAAATATGGTGATTCATGTTATTTTTGACTAGTTTACACAACTACTCAATGTCATTGTGTAGGTTTAATATCACATATTCATCATTGTTTTGATTTACAACTTTTATATATTAAAATCATCTCATAATGAGTTTATTGTTTAGTGTATGATGGTTTATTCTTTGAAAATCAGTGGTTCATAATCAAAATGATATCTATACTAATAGATTAATCATACGTGTTGCCTAGCCATTTAGCTGTTATGCATGACAGAGCCGATTAATAAGAGTAGCCCAGTGGCTATTTTTTTATAAATCAGAGGTCTGTCCGAAGGAACGAGAGGTGTATGATTCAAGAATAGCAATGGTCGTGCAAGATATTGTGAATGGAATCATGGAATGCGTTGAACTAGCTTTAGATTGTTGAAATTTGTAATCTAAATCCCAAGCCCAGTTACTGTACATGATTGTTAAATTCTTGACCCCATGCCTTCATGAAATATACATAGTTGTCGATAATGAATTGTATTTGTTTACTTGAAAATTTTCATTATTATTGACAAAATCAGCGTATAGATCCATATGTCTTTGAGTTCATATACTTGGGTTTCAATTTACGTATGCCTCCACTAGAGAAATCAATTAGTTGAATTTATGCTCTTTTACTCCGAGACCATGGGTTGTATTCATATATGGCCAGATTGTGAATTTAAGTTGAGCAAAGGCCAACATCTGGAACGTGTTGGCCAAAATGATGAGAACTTTCTTTAAGTTAATATTAGTAAATACATGCAGCTGGCTCCAATTTTAGCAGAATGCTTAACCATTGTCAAACATTTCCAAAAAATTTAGATGCGGTTAATATTACTCATTCCCCTTAGCAAATTTACATTCATTTTTCACAAAATCCATATCCATAATCATGACTTCCACAATAATCTCAAAGAAGTTTAGGAAAATAATTCAAATAATCGTAACAATGCCTTAGGCGTGCATTTAATCGATTGCGTGACATGACTATGATTTCCCAAAAATAAATCAAAGTACGTGTTCGCGCGACTTTGGCCAACAATCTTAGTAAAGTGTCATTAATTGTGTACACGTACGCGTGACATACTTTTTGGCGCACCAAACAAATGGATTCACACACACGTGGTTCTTTTTCAAGATAATTTCATAATGCCATAATCAAGTAATTTAAAAGCGGTAAAAGGTAAAATGCACATAGGATCTAAAATACGTAATTAAATAATTTAATTAAGCCATGTATGATTAAAGCGACCGTGCTAAAACTACGGAATCCGGGAGTGCCTAACACCTTCTCCCGAGTTAACAAAATTCCTTACCCGGTCTTCTGGTTTTTGCAGACTTTAAACAGAGTCAAAATTCCTCGATTTGGGATTTAAAATAAACCTGTTACTTAGGACACCATAAATTATACTAAGTAGCGACTCTGATTAAATAAATAATCTCATTTCGATTAATGTCACTTTAATTGGAAAAACTCCCCTATCCCCTCGGGAAAAAGGAGGTGTGACAATGACCACAACCAATTCAAATGATATAGTAAAATCAATAAATTTCTCAAAAATAGCTCAAGGCTCCAGACAACATATATAAAACCTCAAAACAATCAAGAGAGATGGAAAAGTAAATCAGCATAGGACAACACCTTCTTTAATCCAGATTTTAATAAATATAAATTAATGCCTCATTTTAAACTTATTTAACAATTATTTGCAGATAAGGATTTCCATAATGAATTTAATTCCAAGAAAATATCAAATCAACAAGCACACGAAATTCACATAAAAATTTAAGTGACAATAACATCAAATTATCATATAAGATACAATTTCGATAAACAAGAAACGAGGCATGACACATAAAGGATTTAATAAGTGCCAACAATTTCTAGTTTAATACATAAGGATGTCTACAATTTTAACCGGTATAATTTGCACATATAAACCAAGTACGTACTCGTCACCTCGCGTACATGGTTTTCAACTACACAATTTCCACATAAGACTCAATGCCTAAGAGGTAATTCCCCCACTCAAGCTTAGGCAAGATACTTACCTTTTTGAAGTTATGCCAATATTCCAAAATAGTCGTCTTGCTTGAATAAATCCTCTGGACAGATCGAATATATTCAAATTAATTGTATAACTTCATTAAAATTTATCAAAAATAATTTCGGATAATATAACATCGACTAAAACTTTTTACATTACAAGTCAACCAAAAGTCAATGCGGGGACCACCTCTCAGAACCCGATGGAATTTTTACGAAATTCAAACACCCATTCCGATACGAGTTCAACCATACCAATTTTATCAAATTCCGATAACGAATCGACCTCCAAATCCTCAATTTAAAGTCTATAAACGTTCTACCATTTTCAACCCAAAACATTAATTTAATGATAAAAATAACAGATTCAGTTAATTTAACCAAAATTGAGTTAAGAACTCTTACCACGATGTTTTCCTTAAAAATCTCCCTAAAATCGCCTCTCCCCGAGCTCCAAATCGTCAAAGATGAAAAATGGGACGAAGTCCTATTTTCAGAACTTAAATCTACTGCCCAGTCATTTCCTCTATGCGATCGCGGCAAAACACCCACGATCGCGAAGCACAAAATTTTCCAGCCCTTATTTACTCTATGCGATCACGGCCATTCTCCCGCGATCGCGAAGAACAAATTCCCCAACAGCCTTGTCCAACTTCTTCCGGACAACCTCTAGTATAATGGTCATAATATTTTGTACAAAACTCCAAATAATGAATGGTTTAAATTTCTGAAAACTAGACACCAAGACACCATTCATGTTTTGGTCATCTCCCAATTTCTTATAGATTTCAAGATATAAGCTTCCAAAGTCAACCCTATGCAGCACAAATTTCTTCTTCGCGATTTCCAAACTCTTTCCGGACAACCTGTAGAATATCAACCATAAGCTTCCAAAGTCGGGTCAGTGCAGCAGAAAATTTCCTCTACGCGATCGCGAAAGTCCTTCCGCGATCGCGATTCACTGACCATTTTTCCCCATTTTGTGCTTCGCGATCACGGCCAATTCCACGCGATCGCATAGCACACTGCTGTAGCCAAAAACCAACAGCTATAAATGGCCTAGAAATGGTCTGAAACCACCCCGAAACTCACCCGAGCCACTCGGGACCCCGTCCGAACATACCAATAAGTCTCAAAACATATTACGAACTTAGTCGAAACCTCAAATCACATCAAACAACGCTAAAACCATGAATCATACCCCAATTCAAGCTTAATGAAACTAAGAAATTTCAACTTTTACATTTGACGCCGAAACCTATCAAATCAAGTCCGATTGACCTTAAATTTTGCACACAAGTCATAAATGACATAACGGACCTATGAAAAATTTTAGAACTGGATTCCGACCCCGATATCAAAAAGTCAACTCCCCGGTCAAACTTTTAACTTAAACTTTTTATTTTCGCCATTTCAAGCCTAATTTAACTACGGGCTTCCAAATAATTTTCTGGACACACTCCTAAGTCCAAAATTACCATATAAAGCTATTGGAATCATCAAAACTCTATTCTGGGGTCGTTTACTCAAAAGTCCAACTCCAGTAAACTCTTTTTATTTAAGCCTTAGAAATAAGGATTGTTCTTCCAATTTAATTAAGAACCTTCCAAAAACCAAACTTGATCACACATGCAAGTCATAATTTGTATTACGAAGTTGCTCAGGATATTAAGTCGTTGAACGGGACGTAAATTCTTAAAATGATAAGTCGGGTTGTTACATGAGTAAACGACCTCATATCGGAGTTTTGACAGTTCCATTAGGTCCGGATGATGATTTTGGACTTAGGCATATGTCTGAATTTGGATTTGGAGGTCTGTAGGTTGATTTGATACTTTTGGGAAAAAGTTGGAAGATTAAAGGTTTAGAAGGTTGATAGGTTTGACTGAGAGTTGACTTTATCGATATCGGATCCGGATTGTCATTTCGGGAGTTGGTGTAGGTCTGTTGTGTTATTTGGGACTTGCATATAAAATTTGAGGTCATTCCGAGTTGATTTGGTATGATTCGGCATGAGTTTTAGAAGTTTAAAAGTTCATTAGTTCATTAGACTTTAATTGATGTGTGATTCATGGTTTTGATGTTGTTTGGTGTAATTTGAGGCCTCGAGTATGTTTGTGTTATGTTTTGGGACTGGCTTGTGTGATTGGACGGGATCGTAGGGGCCTCGGGTGTGTTTCGGATGTGTTTGGGTTGTGTCGCGCTCTCATTTGATGTTTTGGCGTCGATTCTTTAGGACTAAAGGGTACCATATTGAGAAAACGGAATTTTATTTGTGATTAGATTGAATCATTAGATCCGTATCGTAATTACGGAACCATAGCAACAAGAATCATCGAATTCCGAGATCATATGAGAGAGTTATGCTCATTTCTGTGTCGGTATGGTGGTTTCTGGTGCGAACCTTTGTTGTTCGCGAATGCGAGAGATATTCCTCAAATGTGAAGAAGGATTTCTGGGTTGAATGGTCAACACAAAAAATTTCTCTTCGTGAACGCGAAGGTGTCCCGCAAAGGCAAAGAACAAAAATCACCTGGCAGTGTTTTAAATGGCTAGACCGAGCATTTTAGTATTTTGAGCATATCTTGAATTCTAAAGCTCCGTTTGAGGTGATGTTTACGGTGTTTTTATCCTTTCAACAAGAGGGTAAATATCAAACCTTTATTTTGATATTTTTCTATGATTATTCCCGTTGGTTATAATTTTTATCTGTATTTGGATTGTAGAAATTGGGATTTTGAGCCCCAAAGTTAAGAAATGGTAAATCATTGATTTGAGGGTCAATTCATAGATGAAATTGGATGATTTTATGGATATATACTATATAAGTTAAGGGTAATATTTATTTTTGATAATTTTCAGAATCCGGGTATGTGGGCTCGGGGTTGACTATGTTGACTTTTCGAGTGGAGTTGGAAATTATTATAAATTGTTAAATTACGAGTATTGGAGTATATTTTGATTGGTTTGCGCGTTGTTTGATTAGTTACGGATTGTTTGGCATCAGTTTGATTAGTTAGAGAGGCGTTAGAGCCGGTTATCAGATTTCAGAGTGAGGTAAGTCTTTTGTCTAACCTTATGAAAGAGAATTTACCCCTTAGGTGTTATATTAATTATGTGCTACATGTTGTGGGAGCTACGCATGTATGAGGTGACGGGTGTTCGCGTGTATGCTAGAATTTTTTATTATGTCCAGGCAGACTTAGACTCACGCCATGCTTTAATTATATTATTTGAGTTATTCTTGCCTGTTTAAATGCTATAATTTACATTTAACCCGATACTAGACTCGCGTAGAGTATCGGACTTGCTATATTAGATACTTGACGAGCTACTTGATTAGCCGTGGATAGCTCGTGGAAATTGTACTTTCCTTTACGGACTTCTTCCGCGTTGTGCGTATTTGTCCAATAAGTTTTCTTGAATTTTATAACTCACACGTATATTCGTGAGTGAGGTCAGTGACCCTTTAAAGTTCCATATTCTAATGGGATCGGGCTGAATGCCTCAGCAATACTCT